TGCACTCCTACTAATCATGCTCAATCCCTCGGCACACTCAGTCACTCAGCACTGTATAGTACCTGCAGCGGCGTGCAGCCCGATCCCATCATGAATCAATAAAACATGTGCCTCGTTGCTGGTATGTCGGACTCCGGAGGGGCGGATCCTGCCTAAGCGCTAATAAAACCTACTGCGACGCATAGCCCGATCCCATCATGAATGAATAATACCTGATGCGGCGTGCATCCCGATTCCATCATAAGTCAACAGTACCCGCTGCGGCGTGCAGCCTGATCCCATCAATATCACTCACAAACAGGCCCTCGGCCTCACTCAGTCATCAATCTCTCCAGTCTCTCAGGCTCATAAATCTCATGCCAATCAACCCAAATAATGATAACATGATGTGGAAACAAATGATAATAGAAACTGAGATATGATATGCAAATGAATGAATATGACTGAGTATGTGATTGAAATTTAAGCAAATAACTCATCAACAGAAATGACCTCAATGAGTCCCAACAGAATAAGCATATAGCCTAAACATGGTTTCTAACATGGATCATAACTCAATTACTCTAACACGTAGAAATTTCATGGATAAAAACAAGATTAGATAGCTACACAGTACCACAGAATCAACCGAGTCACAATTCACACAGTGCACGCCTACATGCTCGTCATCTATGTCACCTCAACACCAAACCCATAACACGTATATTCAGGGATTCATGCCCTCAGCACCAAGTTTAGAAGTGTTACTTACCTCAAACAAGCCGAATCCAATATCGAGCAAGCCAAACAATACTCTAGAAATTCCATCCCACATGTATCAACATCCAAACGGCTTGAAACTAGCCAAAAGCAGCTCAAATACATCAAATAATGCCTAAGGAAACAAACCCAATCGATAAAGGTCGAATGTTTAATCAAAAGCCCAAAGTCAACCAAAAAATCAAACTCGAGTTCGCACTTTAGAATTCGATGAAACTCACAAAATACGATAACTCATTCAATTATGAGTCCAACCATACTATTTTCACTCAAATCCAACTCCGAATCAATGCTCAAATCTCGAAAATTCACTTTATGAAGTTTTAGACAAAAATCCCCAATTTCTCTTTTGCAATCATCAACCAAATACCAAAAACTAGGATAGATTCATAAAATATAATCAAAACTGGGTAGAGAACACTTACCCCAATCCATATGGTGAAAATTACTTCAAAAGTCGTCTCAATCCGAGCTCCATAGCTCCAAATATGCTAAAATGGCCGAAACCCCCGAAAATAGAGTACTTATAAAAACCTGACGAATTAATGAATCGCGATCGCAAAAATACCATCGCGATCGTGAAGAATAAAAATGCACTACCCTAGAAATACTCTACGCGATCGCGGAACAAGCTTCGTGATCGCGAAGCACAAAATGCTCAGCCTCGAAAAGTCTCTACACGAACGCAGCCCCAGGCTCGCGAACGCAATGAAGAAGTCATGAAGACTTGTCCATCTCACCTCTACACTGCGAACACGTACACACTTGCGCGAACGCGATGCTTAATCTCCAATAACCTACACGAACGCGGATGAATATTCGCTAACGCGAAGAAGAAATACTCATCTCCAGATATTTCCCTACGCGATCGCACCTCTTACTTCGTGATCGCGAAGAATGTTTGGTGTACCGGACACCAGCAAAAACCTACAATGCCAAAATAAAGAAAAATTGTCCAAAATCAATACGAATCACTCTCGAGCCCCTCGGGACCCCGTCCGAACATTCCAACAAGTCTCATAACATAATACAGACCTAATTGAGGCCTCAAATCACATATAATAATATCAAAACCACTAATCGCGCCTCAAATCGAACTTAATAAACTTTGGATCTTTCAACTTTCAAAACTCGTGTCGAATCTTATCAAATCAACTTGGAATGGACTCAAATTTTGCACACAAGTCCCAAATGACATAACAAAGCCATTCCAATTCTCGGAACCACAATTCGAACCCTGTATCATCAAAGTCAACTTCCAGTCAACTCATGAACATTCCAAACCTTAAAATTCTAACTTTCGCAAATAAGTGCCGAAACCTTCTAGAAATATCCAAATGCAAATCTGGGCGTACGCCCAAGTCTAAAATCACCATCTGGACCTAACTGAATCAAAACTCTGATCCGAAATCAAATACTAAAAAGTCAAACTTGGTCAACTCTTCTAATTTAAAGCTTCAATCATGAAATTCATTCTTCCATACTAATTCCGAAACACCTGAAAACCAGAACCGACGATACACAAACGTCATAATACATTGAACGGAGCTGATCATGCCCTCAAACCACAGAGCGAAGAGTAAATGCTCAAAACGGCCGGTCGGGTCGTTATATTAAGACCACAAGTTTCAAAAGTCTTCTTTTTTTTCTTAAAGTCCGTACCGAATCATATTATCTCATCTAAATTGAAACGGATGTAGTAATAAGTTGAGATATACCAACTTATAACTTTCAGATTTTCTTGAGTTATTTTAACTTAAAAGCACCTATTGAGTTTGACGAAATATCAAAATAAGCCAAAAAGTACTCTATATCAACAATTCTTACTCATTTCTTTTTGGTAAAGTTTAGCTACATAATTAACAATTGCTTCAAAGGCATCAGGTATTTACTCTTCAAGAATACTCTCTCTGCTCCAATTTAAGTAATTTTTTGGCCTTTTTTTGTTGTCTACAATATTTGATTTTTTCAGATATCAAGAAAAAATTAATTTTTTCTTTCCAAAATTGTCCTTGAAGTAAAGAGCCCAGGAGTAGTTTGTTATATTTCCAATGAGCAAATTAAAGTTAATATGATCAATTTTATTGTTAATTAATGCTAAAAGTTAAATTTTTTAATATGTATGAAAAGAGCCAAAAAAATCACTTTAAATGAATCGGAGAAATCCATGTTTTCTTTGCAGCTTATACACCATCATACTACATACTTTATTAATTAACTGCAAGAATCTTCAATGAATAATCATTTAATACATTTGAATATTCAACAGATCCAATGAATAGTATCATAGGACTAAAGACTAGCTACTAGCTGACAATCAGGTCTATCATTAAAAAGGTGAGTTTAAATGCAATACCTGTCGATGAAAAGAAAAATTTGCACAATTATGATACTTTTAAGGTAAGAGCATTGATTGATAAGTAACTTAGCTATTATTCCGTTCGTTTTAATTTATGTGAATCTATTTTCCTTTTGGTTCATGCCAAAATGAATAACTCAATATTTCTTTATAGCCATACAAAATATATGTGTCTTATTTTGTACCACAAGTTCAAAAATCTTCTTTTTTTTCTTAAATCCCGTTTCCAGTCAAATATGTTCACATAAATTGAAACGAAATAAATATAACAAATTAGATTACCTTGATGATAGTAAAAAGTTAGTATATGTTTTTATGTATATAACTTAAATCAAAGAAGTGGCATGAAGCAGCAAAGGAGGAGGAGAGAATGCAGGTTATGGATACACACACAATAACAGTAGTAGAGTCCCATGGAGGCTAGATTGCGCATATATAGTTCTCAGCAATGTTTTAAAGGCAAAATTGAGACACGTTCGAACTTGCCTCGGGGCTGAGTCAGCATTTAAATGCCCTAAGGCAAGTTAAATCTAAGGGAATTAACGATTCGGCAAGTGAAACATGAGCCCTATGTATATTTTACGTTGTCCTTCAACCCCAACAATGTCTCATTCGTGTTTACACCTTGATTAGTCTGCCTAGAATGTACAAAAATATTCTATTTTAAATTTTCTTTTAATTATTTGATTATAATTTAGGAAATTCGGTGACTTACAATATCTCATTGCTACATATATTATTGTACTTAGATAGTTAAATCATTTTCTTAAAGTTTCTTCTTTTACATTTTTCTAATATCTAAATAAACATTTAGGTGATCTCGTCTTGAAGCTTCCTCCTACCTTCCACCCACACGTCAACATGTTCCCATCAACGCTTTTCTTTTCCTCGTACTACTAAGTTTAAGGCAGTGAGTGGAGGGAATTTGAAATGCTCACGTCAGATTGTTCACGTCATATAATTGCCATATCCCCCGATGTCATAATGTGTAATACTTGAAACGAGTAGTAAATTTCTGAAAGCACGGGTAGTAATCAAGGCGTTTTCGGGGCGAGCCCCGGGATGAGCCCTGGGGTGAGGCGCACCAAAAACGCTCTGGGGCAATGGTGTGGGGCGAAAGTCTCAAGAGACATACGCCCAGCAATTCGGGGCGTACGCCTGGGCGTTCGGGGCGTTTGAGGCGCATTGTTTTAGATTTTTTTAAATTAAAGCAAAATTTGTTGAATAAGTCCTTCATATAATATCTAAATTCTCAAAATTCAGCTTAATAATTACTCAAAAGTTTTAAAAAGGAACTGAAATGTATTAAATTTAAAAGTCAAGACCTTATTTATTGATTGAAGCCCCAATTCATGGCCTTTCCCAATTCTTTATCTTGTCCGCTAATCTGCTAATATCTCTCAAAAGCAACGAATATTCAATTTTTTTAACAAATACAAAGAGAACTTCATTCTCCTTCATAACAACACGTTCAAAGTTCAAATAGCATATTAGTCATCCTTTTTGTTCCTCCGTGTATAAAACTTTATTCTTTTCAACTCAAGTTACTAGAGCTTCTAAGTAGCGTATAATAGATTGTTTTGACTAATTTTTTGTAGGGATGAAACACACACACAGACATATATATATATATANCTAAAATATTAAAAATTAAATACCTATGGGGCTTACGCCCCGTGTCTCGCATACGTAAAACGTCTCGCCTTACACCCACGCCTTTTAAAACACCGGTAGTAATGACTCTTCCACATTTTAGCTGCTTAATTATACTAATTTCATTTTCGTTTAGAACAACAAACCTTTTATGCGAGTATCACGGTGTATAACTATGATAAATCTTCTAATGATAATATAGAGCATTCAAATAGCCAACCCTAGCTAATGGTATCAAAGAAAATGGCAATCTTTCATGTACATCTAATACAACAGTGTGATTAAAACCAAGTACTAGTATAAGATTGCAAAAGTACTGATGTAAAGTTGTAGTAAAATTTTACACATGTAGTGGTCACAAGCCACTGCATGTACACAATAAAGTACATAACTAATACCAACCAGTACAATTGATACAAATTAAGGGCGGGCTCCTGGCAGATGCTCATCCTTACAATATAAAATTAATGGCTGAAAATATCTGTAATCAATGTTGGTTCATCTCCACCTTTTCCTATTGTGCAGCAGAAAGAAAAAAAAAAAAAAAAATTAGCTATCAACACAAAAATGATTTAATAATATCCTAAGATCATGCGTGCTTCAATGTAATCTATTAGCCAACTTCAATTGTCAAGAAGTGGAAAATGCACGGATAAACAACTTATATGCAAAATGTGCGTGATATAAGAACCCTTGCCCTATTTGAATTGAAGGCTGAAGGGTACTAAAACAGAGAGCAAAAAGTATACAAATTCTATATGCTGGCACAATAACTCTTAAGATGTAACAGTCTGTTCATTATGCCATCAGCAGAGTACTCAAATTAAATACCCAGTGAATTTAATGACAAAAACTTAAAATGTCAAGCAAAGTTGAAAAGCCACAATCTTCATTATCAAAAGTAAATATGATGTGCTCCGCAAAGTAAAGGCATTGGGTTCACTCATAAAACAGGAAGATGTGTAAAACAGTGACATTAAAAGTAAAGAAAGCAGAAGAAAGGAGTATGATAATTGATCACATTAGTAACAGCACGAGGAAACAGATTCCACATCTTACTTGAGGGCTACATTTTTTCGATTAGTTCAACGATCAGATATGTGTGTTACTTGAGAGAGAAAAGCAGAACCTAAAGTACTACTGCCAGCAATCAAGAGGAAAACACATAAAACTAGTAAACTGATGGTCCTTTCAGAACTCCTCCTCTCTGATAGCTATTACCAAAAAGTTTTATGAAGAAAACAGGAAATTCAGCTAGCTGCTAATCAATAACAATGAATACAGGCTGGAAGTATAGGTAGCAAGTGCACAAAACCTATTTTTAAAGGAACAACAAAAAGATGGCAGCCTATGCAATTTTTTAAACACTGTCACAACACAGCCAATCAAGCACAAACTCCTACTAGGGCTGATGGTACTCAGTACGTGTCAATTCTAGGCAAATATTCTGCAGAGGGAAAGTACAGTAGAATAAGTTCTGATGCAAAATTGGATTCAAACAAGCATTGTTACCAGAAACTCTTGCATTTTCAACTATCCAATATTCAGCAGAAAACATCCAAATGTACAGAAGATATTCAACTAAGATAGCCTCTATTTTCCAGGGTGACAAGTTTTTTGCTTTCCGCTAGATATTTCCATCTCCTAAACATTTATCCAGATGTTCAACTAAGATAGCCTCTATTTTCCAGTGTGACAAGTTTTGTATGGTTTATATTCTAAACCATTAATTACAAGACATTCATTTTTTTTTTTTTGAGTAGAAAGTTCTGGTTAATATTTTTGTACCAAACATGACATGCACTTTAAATTCCATAACAACATCTACCTATGTCCTGCTGTCCCATACCAACAACTAGCCACTGTTAATACTACAACAACAACGACCCGGTAAAATCCCACTAGTGAGGTCTGAGGAGGGCAGTGTGTACGTAGACCTTATCCCTACCCCGAGGGAATAGAGAGGTGGTTTCCGAAAGACCCTCTGCTCAAGAAGTAAATTTTTCTTTAACCAAAATAATTAAGTTATTTGGTCTCAAGTTATTGTTTTATGATGGTGGTGTACGCCCCAACTTGCGTACGCCTTGATTAATTCCACCAGGTATATGCTACTTCCCACAAGCACAAGTACCAGGTTACTCTACAAGCACAAGTACCATGTAACTCTACTTAAGCAGATGAGAAGATATCACCTAGTGGTTTTTTGCCTAGATTAGAATTTTGAAACTTTGACCTCGTGGTTCTTCTCCCACTTCATCAACCACTAGGCCACACTCTTGAGGGCCAGTCTCAAGTCATATACTAAAGGCTAACAACACGATTTCCTCTGAATATGACTGAATTTGGAGAGAAAATTCATCAAAAGTTGATGTGCTCACATAACGAAGGAATGAAAAAGAAAGATAGCAAAGACCAAAATTGATGTCCTCTAAATCAAGCCCATATAAAATTGATCCCTCGCCTACCTATCAAGCCCATATATAATATTTAGGTTAATATTAGAATGAAGAACAATTAAAAATATCAAATTAAGTACATACAATATGAGTACAATCTAAATATCAAACCAATTAAACGGAAAATTAACAAAAACTAGATCCAAAACTAAAAGAAAGGAGAAATAAAACCATTAAAACGGAAATTGGGGGAAAATTACTATACTACCAAGCATGTATGAACCCTAGCAAACAAAAGAGAGAAATCAACAACTAAACCAGTAAAATCGGCAGCTAAATCAGTAAAATTCACCGTTAAAATCAGTGAAATCAACGCCTAAACTAATGAAATTGACGGCTAAACCAGTGGATTCGAAGGCTAAAATCAGTGAATTCAACGGCTAAACCAATAAAATCAACGGCTAAAATCAGTGATTTAAATTAATCCACACCCAGATACACATATGCACGTCTTAAGTCAGTGAAATCACCGGGTAAACCAGTGAAATCAACGGCAGAAATCAGTAAAATCAACGGCTAAATCAGCGAAATCAATAATTTAAACTGATCTTCATCCAATAAACACACATGCATGCCTTAAATCAGTGAAATAGCTGTTAGAGTAGGCATACGTCATAGGTTCGAGTCTCACCACCACCATTATAAAAAAAGAATCTCTACGCGCTTGGCCAATGAAAAAAATGAATGAAGCATACACGTGAGGGGTGTGTTGAAGAGACAATTAAGTAAATAAAGTGTGCTTTCTCTAACAGCTTAACCTTTTAGATGAGATAGTTGCACACTTCAACAAAAAGTCTTACCATAACCAAAGTACTCATAATACTAACCAAATGAGCATTTCTAAGATTTTAAATGAAAGGACGACAATAAACTATAAATTTCCATAGTGCAAAACAATACGAGGCTCACCAGTACAATCAACTCCACGAGTTCTAGATTGGGAAGTCCTCGTCTATGTCAGTAGATGTCTCTGTAAAACAATAATAATTATAAAGTGATTTAGCTAGCTTATTGAGTTGATAGCGCTTACCAACAACCATTTTATATGAAGACAAGCCAGGAAACATGCCAGTACATAGTATTCATAAACCATAGTTTTTTTTTAGAGTGTATATTCATAAAACATAATAGAAATGTGTTTCCCTAATAACGATAAATGTGCATATATTGTATCATGAATAAATCATGTACAAGGTAACAATACAGTGTCATAATCAACTACGTACATTGAGAGGTTTACTAGAGCGAACCAAGTAAAGGACATGCTTCATACATCGAGGGATAACCAAAACAAGTTGCGGAGCGTCTTGGCAGGGGAGTCAAATCATGGGAGTGGTCCTCACTCAAGGAATATCGACAGTGGTATACAAGTTCTACTTTCTACTAACGAGTGTTATAACTGTAAAATACAAAGTATCCATATCAAAAATATTCAAACTGATACAACTCAGTTATTAGGTCATATCATATCAAGCTAAATAACAAATTTTAGCAAAAATACTTGCCACGATAAATAAATTTCAAATATTGGTAAATTCATTTCAGTAATTGTAGTTACATCTTCAGCAACGGAAAAACATCTCCATTGACGACAAAAGCATTTAAAATAACGGTAAAGCATCTCAAAAAACATTCTAGTATAGAACATCAACATAGTTCAGACCTGTTTCAAACATCAACATAGTTACAAAATAGTTTCATATAATTTAAAAGACTTGGTCTCAATATTTTAAGTTATACGATAAGATATTTCGTCTCTAAAATCCAAACCAATACAATATGAGTGTAAATTGTAGAATACAAATTTTGGCAAGTTATGAATCTATAGATTTTATCCATCTTGTTGCTTGGATACTATGGAAATGAATACCAAAATAATTTGAAAAAGAGAAAAACAACAAACTATGAAGGTCCTATTTTGCACCGTAATATTAATAGCATTAACACCAATTTTCACCATCATGGTGGTGGCCAAACTTCAAAAAATATTCCAGTGACAACAAATGGTGTTGCAGTGCCAATTTTTATCACAGTAGAGTCGAACCCCAAGGTATGGTAGTTTTAAGAGGTATAGAAGTTTGAATTTTTTGAGGAACTTTTGACACACATTGGTAGGCTAAAGCTAGGATTCAAGGATCCATCACAAAAGTCAAGGTTACAAAGATGGAGTTCAAGATCTAAGAGGACTTTCTTCTCACATTTTGCTTTCTCTTTGCACCCACGAACTTTTGTGGCTTTCGTACTTTTTATTTGAATTGAACCATTGCTATAGAGTGGCTTTCTTGTCGTAGGATTTAGATGAATCTTATGATTTAACTATATAGATTAATTTCTTCATTGCATCTATTGTTGATTTGATTGACGTTTCTTAGAGCAATTTCAAACTTGTAAGTGAAAGAAGTGTCTGAATCCTTTACTTCTTGATTGATCATAATTTATTTGTTCGTCTTAAATGGTAGTAGAGACTAGTCATGCCCTTACTTGTGATCATATATACCTCGAAAGGGTCCATATCTAATCGTCAGACCTAGAGTTAGTTAGTCAACCATCTACAACACATAGAGCGTAATACCTTTACTATTTGTATAATCGAGAGAGTTACACTTAGTGAATATGGTACAATAATTTGGTGTAATCAAGAGAGGCGCTCATAACTTAGAAAGTAATTAGATGAAGGAGGAATGGAGACCATATGTTAATCATAGGTGATATCAATATCGAGCTTGTTAAATTAACTAACTACTTTAATTTTTTTCCAGTTAAATTTAATTTTAGATTATTTGCCTTGGAAATGAATGTATTGACGCATACATTCAAGGGGATGCGTCATGATGCATGTTATTTGCGAATGACATAGTACTGATTGACGAGACGCGGGGCGAAATTAACCCTAGGCTAGAGGTTTGGAGACAAACCCCGAAGTCTAAAGATTTCAGGTTGCGCAGGTCTAAAACAGAATACTTGGAGTGCAAGTTAAGTGACGTAACTCAGGAGGCTGACGTGGAAATGAGGCTGGATTCACAAGTCATCTCTAAGATAGGAAGTTTCAAGTACCTTATGTCAGTAATCCAAGGCAATTGGAAGATCGACGATAATGGCACACATCATATTGGAGCGGGGTGGACGAAATGGAGGCTAGCACCTAGCGTCTTGTGTGACAAGAACGTGCCACGAAGATTTAAAGGTAAGTTATACAAAATAATGATTAGACCGACCATGTTGTATTGGGCGGAATGTCGATCACTCAAGAACTCTCATGTTCAAAAGATGAAAATAGCGGAGATGAGGATGTTGAGATGGATGTGTGGGCATACCAATAGATATAGGGTCAGGAATGAAGATATTCGGGATAATGTAAGCGTAGCCTCCGTGGTGGACAAGATGCGGGGTATGAAGCTGAGATGGATCAGGCATGTGAAAGATGAGACGTCCGGATGCCCCAGTGAGAAGGTTCGAGGGATTGACAATGATGGGTCTAAGGAGAGGTAAAGGTAGGCCTAAGAAGTATTGGGGAGAGGTGATTAGGTAGGACATGACGCATTTTTAGTTTACCGAGGATAGGGCCCTTGATAGGAGAGTGTGGAGGTCGAGAATTAGGGTAGAAGGTTAGTGGGCAGTTGAGCGTCTTTTCTTTCATTCTAGTAGCAGTAACATTATTCTCGTAATCCATTATTCTTAGATTCCTATTACTACATGATATTGCTTTTGTTTTGGTTTTCTATTATCTTGTTGTTGTTATTGCTTCTTTGACTTTTTCACTAATGCATTTCTTTTTCTATACTGTTGTGATAATGCATGTTTGCTTTGAGTCGGGGGTCTATTAGAAACAATCTCTACCTGCAATAGATAGGGGTAAGGCTGCATACTCACTACCCTCCCAGACCCCACTTGTGAGATTACACTGGGTATATTGTTGTAGTTGTTAAATTTTATTTTAGAATCCTTCACAATCCTATCTAATTTCTCAAGTCGTGTTTAGAAAACATCCATTAGTTAATTAGAAACCCAATCCTCATGAATTGACAATGAGTTATACTATTTTTGACAAGCACAAACTTTATCTTTTGTACAATGAATTTACGCTCGTCAGCAAGGTTCATCACTCACATTAGAATCATGTATAGCTCAAGTATATCATCCAGGAGCAATCCAAAGCACTTTCTTTAACCAATCTATAACACATGATATTGATTTAGTGTCAAAATGTTTAGGAATATTATCATTGTATCCCTATATAGACTCAAACAGAACAAATTCACTATACCGACCCTTTCAGTTTCATGTTTGACCTAAAACACATATCAAAATGGAAATCTCTTCGTTAACCAAAGCTTTTCTAGATGTTCTTCTTTCCCAGTTTTATTTCCAGCAAGCCCATTTTGATATGTATGCTAGGTCCCCCCCCCCCCACACACACACTTTGGTTTTTTAGCTAATGGCGTAAATGCCCTTATTAATCTGGTATTACAAACCTCCTTTATGAAAATCTAACTTAAGAACAAGTGCCAACTCGTGGACCAAAATATAATGATACTTGGCTCGCATTTCCTCTTCATCTTTCCATGTAGCCTCTTCATAGATGTGGTTCTTCCATATGACTTTTATTGATGCAATGTCTTTTGATGACACTTCCTTACTACCACTACAAGAAATAAGATTTTGAGTGACGACGTTCTATGGTGACCTCTTAAGTCGCCACCAAAAGTAAGTGCCTAGTCACCACAATTTCAGGGGTGATCTATATGTCACCGTTTTGAGTAGCAATCTACCTTAAATCTATTTTGTGGCGCATTTATTTACTTTTTTGGAGAGCTTCGCCGCTACAAAATCTAAGTTGTTTTATTATTAGCTTTGTGGCGACTAAGTTTGGTACAAAAAGTAAACAAATGCCCCACAAAATAAATTTAAGGTAGGTCGCTACTAAAAACAATGACGTAGAGTTTGCCGCTGAAACCATCACTTATTGTGGTAACTCGACACTTACTTTTTGTGGTGACTAAAGAGGTTGTCACAGGACAACGACAACAACAAACCCAGCTTAATCCCATATGTGGGATCTGGGGAGGGTAGTGTGTACGCAGTCTTACCCCTGTCCTATAAAGGTTGTCACAGAACGTCGTCATTAAAAAACCTTATTTCTTGTAGTATACCTATCAGTAATAGCCACAAGCATTTCCTCATAAGACAAATAAATCAAGTTGGATAGCCAAAACCAAATAAGAGGGTACGTTGTATATTTCCATAATATAAACATATGAAATATTGGATGAATGAGAATCAACTCGGGTGAAAATGATAAATGATAAGGCATGACTCCCACTCGAGAAACTATCTCATATGGCCCTTTAAATCTCAAACTTAACTTCCTTCTTTTCTAATTCGCATCACGCCCTTCATAAGTGAAACCCGTAAAAATACTCAATCTCTGATAAGGAACACTATGTCCCTTTCTCCACCTATGTGCACGAGACTTTTGTTTCCTTTGTATATTGAACAATCTTTGCTTGATCAACTGAACCTTATCAATAGCTTCCCATGCTAGGTTTAATCCCTACACCTTAGCCTCTCAGGCTCCAAACCATTTGATAGGGAACGAGGAATCCAACCATACAAGAACTCGTATGAAGCCATCTTAAATACTTGCCCCAACACTATTATAGTAAGCGAATTCAGTTACAAATAAGTATTCGTCCGGACTACCTCTAAAATCAAGGATACAAGCTATTAACATTTTCTCCAAGATCTGTGTAGTACACTCAGATTGTCATTCATCAGTGGATGAAATGTGGTACTGAGGTCTGCTCATGTACCCAAAGTTTCTTGGAAAGATTTCCAAAAGCGTTAAGTGAATTGTGACCTTTGTGAAAGATGATGGGCATTGTATCCTCTGTGGAGTCGAAAATTTTGTTCATGTATATCCGTGTATATCTCGATCTAGTGTACATAGTTTCAACAGGTAAGAAATATGCTGACTTTGTTAGCCAATTCACAACTA